CCACCCCTGTCTGTCCAGCGTGGCTGGCTCCTGCCTGGGTGAGCAGGTGTCTGACTGCTGCCTGGAAGGGGATCATGCCTAAGCTGGGCACTCGGGACCTGCCCACGGGGGCCCTGACCAGCAGACGCCAGGCCTCTGGTCGCCGCCAGCTGTCGGAGCTGTGGAGGATTGTAACCTATACGGCTTCTGTGTGGCATGCCCAGCCGATTCTGCAGCCAGGCCCGGGGCTGAGAGGAGGCTCAGAGAGGCAGGCACCAGGGGTCGGTCAGCTGAGTTTGTAGCCCGGCTTCTAGCTGTGTGACCTCGAGCAACTTGTGGCCCCTCAGAAGCTGTTTTCTCACATATAAAGTGGATATGCCCTGCTTCATCGAGTCTAAGATGCACGCGTTTCCACCTTATGACTTCTGAAATTGAGATGCGCCTTTCAGTGAGTGATGGAGTCGTGGGAAAACCTGTGGACCGCTCCTGCTAAGACCCAGACGGCGCCACGGCCAGGCATCTTAGATTTGATGAACTGTGGTAAATAAAGAGGCGTGCGTGAGCTGTGCTGGGGGCGCTTAGTGTCGCTGTCGGCCCCGCAGAAGTGGTCAGTACGGGCTTCCCTTTCCCTGCATCCTCAGTGGGGGTCCAGGATGTCCCGGACTGTGTCCCCGAGAAGCTTGGAGCCGCCTGGAGAGGTGGACCCCACGCCTAGGGAGAACAGGGTCGTGAGGTTTGGGGGTGCTGGTAGCATTCTGGTCTGGAGTGCTGGTAGTGTCTGCAGTGAATCTTGAAGGATGGGCAGGCTTCCAATGAGTTCGTGGGAGATGGGGTTCCCAGAGGGGACAGCTGCACAGGTGAAAGCCAGGGAGGCCTCGTCAGGGCGCTTGGTGCTTGGTGTGTGGCTGTGTCCTCCTCCCTCCCTGCTCATGCTCGGCCCCTGCTGCTTCGCTTCGCCCAGACATCTGGCCTGTGACTATCTGCCTGCCTCGCCCATGGGCAGAGGACCTGGGCTGTGCGTCCTGTCCTGGGCAGCAGCTGAGCTGGACAGGTCTCAGGAGCCATCTCTGGGCCAATGGCCCCGGGTAAGGGCGGGCTGTAGAGGCTCATGTAGACCTCGGGGAGATGGGCTGAAGCCCCACGTTCACCCAGCCAGCTGCAGTTAGGAGCACGGTCAGCAGACAAGGCTTTCCCCTTGGCCTGTCCAGCAACCGTCTGGGGTGAAACAGTGAGTCCAGACAGGCTGGACTCAGAACCGTCTCAGCAGTTTCAGAGTGCTTTATCGGGCGCGGGAGTCAGCGTTGCTCTCCAGGGGAGGGTCTCTGGGCGGGCCAGTGGGTGTGGCCTGCACAGTCTGCCTCTTGGTGAAGGGTCCGCTGCCCCACATACCTGTGAGCCCTGGAGAGCTGGCAGGAATGGGGCCACATCTAGTCACTCCTGGGAGACGCTGCAGCAGTGACGGATGTGTCACCAAACAGCTCTCCCGGGTGGGCCAGCTCGCCCCTCAGGGTCCCCTCTGCCCACTCAGGCCAGGCCAGTCTGGGCAGCCCGACCTTTGCCGAAGTAAGAGACAAAACTAATCTCTTGTCTCAACTTGCCTTTCTTTGCGTACTCGTGTGTGTGGGGGGGTGCTGCTTGCATCGTCAGCCGTTCTGCAGAATGTCTCTTCACATCCTTCACAATCTCTTAATGGGGTTCCAGCCTTCTCCCCCCATTTTTGTATCCCGTAAGAGCTTTTCGTGGACGAAAGCTGTAAACCTCTGTCGAGTAGGACCAGTCCTTTCTCTCGTCCCGTCTGGCCTTGAGCTGTCCATCCCTGGGTGTTTATCTGCCGAGGCTGTGTTCCTGTGGGGCCGCGCTATCAGTCTCTTCCTTTGCTTTTGTGCTTAGGAGGCTTCTTTCCCTGAGATCAGATAAGCCGTGGTTTTCTTGAGTTATTCTCTTCTGTAGCCTGTGTGGCTGGGCTTGGGGGGTCTGGC